GCCATTCTTTACCTGAGCCAGAAGTCGCCCATTATAACCTGCGGTCAACTGCTCGGATTTTCTATGGGTCTTTATGTTAGTATATGGGTCTCTGTGTGAGTCTATGGGTCTTTATGTTAGTATATGGGTCTCTGTGTGAGTGTATGTGTCTCTGTGTGAGTCTACGGGTCTCTGCGTGTGTCTATGGGTCTCTGTGTGAGTCTATGGGTCTCTAATCTCCATACCCTTTCTCATTGCATCGTTATTGTCGCTTCTCAGCTTCTGCCCAAACCATTCGAATCTCACCTCCCTGACCTCCAGAATATGAGTGCTATCCCCATTCAGGCTCTACCCTCCTCGTTTCCTAGAGAGATATTCCCAACCTCCCTCTCCACATCCTCATTACTGCTTTTCCAAGTACTGCATCTTCCTTCTGTATCCCAGAGTGCCCACGTCTCGGCACTTGGAAGCATCGCTGCTCTCTTAATGTCGCTTTCAGTTTGACCGCCACCTTGCTCTCTCTACGATTCCTGAAAACCTATCTCTATGCGCTCCCATACTATCCCGGCTCTTTCCCCTTACATCCGATTTACATCCAACGTACATCTAAATTACGCTCTTTGCTTCCTCACTAGACTTACTGCGCCTCGTACGTTTTATTTTTCTCTTTCGAAGAGTTTTCATTTTATTTTAACAGGAGCCCGGTACAGAGCGCGAACCGTGACACCGGTAGGGGTGGCGGAGGGAGGGTACAGAAACTCCGCGGACAGAAGTCCCGAACTTTGTGCCCCTGGGTTTAGAGGAGGAGGGGGTGGGGAGATTGGACTCACTGCCCCACCCAAGGGTGGAATCGTGAGCGGGGTACTCGTTGTATTTGTAGGTGGGGAGGAAGGGGAAGATCAGGGAGGAATAACTTAAGAGGATAGAGGGAGCGGGGAGGAGGGGGGGTGGCAACACGCCTACATGACACTTGAGGGTGTAAGACAAAGGTGGACTTCTGACACAAGTGTAGTGGTATAGATTAATAGTATTGTAGCAGCGTAGCTCCGGCTGCTGGCAGGGAAGGGGATCTGCGGCTTACGGCAGCCCTGACGTCAGCAGACCACGTGATACACCAGAGGGGGATCTAGGGGAATGGTTACAGAAGGGGCCCACCAAGAACCCTCTGGTAGGTTTTAGAAAGGGGGCGTGGCCGGGGGCGGAGCCAGGCCACCCCGACAGTATAAGAATGGCCCCTGTAGGGGACCTCGGGGCTGTCGACTGTAAGTGGTGTCCCCGTTGTGCTGCTCAAGTCCATGGTCGTCGTCGTCACCATTTTTCTCTTAGTCGCCGCAGTCGTCGCCGCTCGATATTGCGCTGAGATACAGTTGTTGGCTGTATCGGTCAGGCCTTCATAGACGCTGCTTGCTAACAGCACTTGTCCCGCCAGTCTATTAAAGCTATACTGGGGATCTTTGTTTTTGTGGCAGTACAGTAAGCAGCAGGTTCCTTACCTATCTGGAGTTTGAGTGTCTCCAACCACTGTAATTTTGCTCTAAATGTAAAAGATACATAGAGTTAAAAAAAAAGGAATTGGCTAAATAGTCCAAGCACAGGAACCTGAAAAAAAATGTCTTGCATCTCGAAGAGATTGTCCTGGCAAAATAAAGAAACTCGGAGTCAGAATATCAGTCTTCGTGCTCAAACGAGCAATCGGGTCGCGCTGTCAACCCCATTCACAGCGCTGAGCCAACGGCGGATAAATCTCCCGTCACCTAATCAGCAATAAGCGCGTGGTTAGCGTCCTACTACTGCGTGTACGTCGTACGGGGTGGTGCCGCGCCTCGTAAGGGCGCCGATGTTCGGCGTTTAGCTCCGCGCGCGCTGGGAGCTTCCTCGTCGAACTTGACGTCGTGCCAAGAGAAACACTTTCCGCAGCCTCGGAAAACGGGGCGGAGAACCGCGCGGGGTTTGTCCGTCCGTGCGTTTGTCCGTCCGTGCGTTTGTCCGACCGTGCGTTTGTCCGTCCGTCCGTCCATTCAGATCTCGTTGAAAAACACGGAGCTATGTGCTCAAGTCCCTTGAAACAATTCTAACCCAAACTTATCTTTAAAAAAACGCACGCAAAAAAAAAACGCCAGTTCTTTTGCTTTTAAAGGTCAAAGTGGGGCGAAAGTGGCTGCTGCTGGTGTCGTTTTGCTTGCAGTGAAATAAGACTGTTCATAAGCCTGACAAAGCAATCGCGATGTTAAGCTGCTCGCACGAGTGGCCACGTTGTATAGAATCTCAGTGTGGGCACGTGGTTAGACGGACATAACTCCTCGCTCCCTACGGGGGCACGAATGCCTCGTTTTACTCGCCACTGGGCCACGTCTACACCCAAGTTGTCTCGCTGCGGAAACTAGCAGCGTTGAACGTTAGCGCGGTCTGTCCCGGCTGGCAACACGGAGAAAATATTTCCACACCCGGCACACCACATCCAGTATACACATCTCAGATTCTGAATATTTATTTATATTGGAGAAATACAATGAGCTATGAAGCTCTTTTTTATACAGGATTTCCAGTAGGGGCAGGGGTCAGAACTTATATCTGGTGCTGTGGCTACCAGTCCCGTGCCGACTCCAGCGTACCGGCTTGCAAACAGACAACGGCTGCAACCCTCTTTGGTTCTTTCGGTAAAGTCACGTAGTCAGAAATATTTCTAACTATAGATGCCTGCAATCAGGAAAGCTTCAAAACGGGTGCAGTGTGCGCCTCTGCTGGCCCTGGGCCAGCTGGTGGGAATTCCACATCTCCTGCACAGTCTCTCCACACGACCACCTTTCCTTCCTCTTCAGCGACGTGCATTTTACAAACCCTGGAGGACATTGTGTGCCGAGTCCGCCCCTGACCAGGGCTTGAACTCTTTTGTTGTCCGCAGTGCGTCAGTGGATCTCAACCCAATTTTCTGGCCACTGTACCACCCCCCTTGTTGAATTGTGTTTCAACCGAGTGTGTCCGAGCCAACACGGTTCCGAGAAATGTATGCATTAGTTTAACCAATTGATCCTTATGGCGGTTCCCCGGGGTACCAAATAATACAAAATGGGCCGAGGCAATTAAAATATTTTATTTCTGGGACACTATTTTTTTCCAGGGGTTTAGTTCACTCCGCGATTGGGGTACCAATCAATTCGAAATCAGTGCCACACCCCGCGATGTCGAGGACGATTGCGCTGAAACCCTGAACGCTCGCACGCACCGTAGTGGTGCATCGTGAGTACAGCTCGTCGAGATGAGTCGATTGCCGCATCGCCGACCATCCACAGACTAAAAATGACTGCGTCACGGACATTATGCGAGAGACGGGGTACTATGGGACCCTGGGGTACGGCCATGAGGTTAAATTGTTCATTTTGCGAGTTATCCTAACTGGCTAGTACCTGCAGGCGAACTAAAACAACTTCATTTTGTGAGTTATCCTAACTGGCTAGTAACTGCAGGCGAACTAAAACAACTTCATTTTGTGAGTTATCCTAACTGCCTAGTAACTGAAGGCGAACTAAAACAACTTCATTTTGTGAGTTATCCTAATTGGCTAGTAACTGCAGGCGAACTAAAACAACTACATTTTGTGAGTTATCCTAACTGGCTAGTAACTGCAAGTGAACTAAAACTTCAACGAACGCTCTGCACGCGTGACGTCATTTGTCCACGCTCGCCGCTTCTTCTGGAAGACCACATTGTGTACGACCAACGAGCTTAGAAAGGTCTTCAATATCGCTCTAGATTTACCATATGGGATTACATTTCGTCGTAGTTATTATATATTGGCAGATTCGTGCGCGATTATTCACCATATTTATAAATCGCCTCACGTACCCCCTGGGACACTGCAACGTACCCCCTGTTGAGAAGCACTGCAGTATATGGTCCTGTGCAGCTGGGGTGGTGGCGCAGTGGTTAGCGCGGTGCACGGCGAACCCGGCGAACTAAGTTCGAATCCCGGCCGTGAGTAACATCGAATCCCGGCCGTGACTAACATCAGTTGGCAAGAGGTGATATCTGGACTGTTTCCTGGGCAGCCCTGTCAATCAACCCGCATTGACCAGCATGGTGAAGTATAGTCAAACAAACCCCGACAGCCGATCGACAAAGGGCTGCACATTATATTGCGATGACCCGTCTCTCTGAATGCTACACGCATTTATTTCTTTAAAAAAGCGTACTGCGCTTACAATAAATATTGAGTTCACCGAAGTTTGAGCTCCCGGCGCAGCGGTAAAAAGGACGACGCAGGTTTCTCAAATCCCCTGTCCACCCAGCAGTAGACATGGGGCACAGCCCCCAGTCGCTTCAAAAGTCGCGTGTGGTGGGGGTCACGCTTGGGTAGGACGTGTGTCCGGCATGGAAGGGTAAGCCGACATTTCCCCTCGATCACGGTGTTTCTAAAACTTGTTTGGCCTGCGGACCACTCAGCTGATGCAAACATTTCCATGGACCATCAACCCAGCCAGCCCGCCCGCCGCTGGCGACAACACGAATTCACTTCTCTCTCTCTCTCTAAATGGCAGTTATACAAATTATTCAGATTACAGGAACATACAAAGTTTTTATTATGCAGCTATAATGTTTATTTGGGGCAGGGGGGGGGGGGCATTTAGGTGTCAGGATTAGTCTGGTTTCATCATTTACCTAATTTAAATTGTGTTTGGATTAAATATCTTCAGTACAACGTTAATTTTCGAAAACAATCGGTACAATCATCCGTGTCATTTCTTCCGGATCAACCGGGGTTTGCATCACAAACCCCGCGGCCCACCAGCTGGAGGACCGTCGCGGACCACTCACCGCTGGTCCCAGGGACCACAACGCCCTGAGAACCACTGGGCTAGAGGGGCTCTCAAGAGGGGGCTCTCTTCTGCCACCAGTGCTGTGGGCAGCACACCGCAGGGGCCGCACCGTGACCCGTCCTGCCGGCCGGTAGATCTCGAGCGCGAGTTTCTGTGGCATCACCAATCTTGTTCATCGTCCTCACTGCCATCGATGCCCTCCCGCAGGTGTTGTCCTACAACCTGTGCACGGTGCTCAACGTGAGCCACGACCCCGTGGCGCTGGAGGCTCACTTCCGCGATGACGACTCGGGCCCTGTATCCAGCCAGGGCTACATGCCCTACCTCAACACCTACATCCTAGACAAGGTGACACCTCGTCACACACACGCCCTACCTCAACACCTACATCCTAGACAAGGTGACACCTCGTCACACGCCCTACCTCAACACCCACATCCTAGACAAGGTGACACCTCGTCACACACACGCCCTACCTCAACACCTACATCCTAGACAAGGTGACACCTCGTCACACACACGCCCTACCTCAACACCTACATCCTAGACAAGGTGACACCTCGTCACACGCACGCCCTACCTCAACACCCACATCCTAGACGAGGTGACACCTCGTCACACACACGCCCTACCTCAACACCTACATCCTAGACAAGGTGACACCTCGTCACACGCACGGCCTACCTCAACACCCACATCCTAGACAAGGTGACACCTCGTCACACACACGCCCTACCTCAACACCTACATCCTAGACAAGGTGACACCTCGTCACACGCACGCCCTACCTCAACACCTACATCCTAGACAAGGTGACACCTCGTCACACACACGCCCTACCTCAACACCTACATCCTAGACAAGGTGACACCTCGTCACACGCACGCCCTACCTCAACACCCACATCCTAGACAAGGTGACACCTCGTCACACGCATGCCCTACCTCAACACCTACATCCTAGACAAGGTGACACCTCGTCACACACACGCCCTACCTCAACACCTACATCCTAGACAAGGTGACACCTCGTCACACACACGCCCTACCTCAACACCCACATCCTAGACAAGGTGACACCTCGTCACACACCCGCCCTACCTCAACACCTACATCCTAGACAAGGTGACACCTCGTCACACGCCCTACCTCAACACCCACATCCTAGACAAGGTGACACCTCGTCACACACACGCCCTACCTCAATACCCACATCCTAGACAAGGTGACACCTCGTCACAAGCACCGCCTACCTCAACACCTACATCCTAGACAAGGTGACACCTCGTCACTCACACGCCCTACCTCAACATCTACATCCTAGACAAGGTGACACCTCGTCATACGCACGCCCTACCTCAACACCTACATCCTAGACAAGGTGACACCTCGTCACACACACGCCCTACCTCAACGCCCACATCCTAGACAAGGTGACACCTCGTCACACGCACGCCCTACCTCAACGCCTACATCCTAGACAAGGTGACACCTCGTCACACACCGCCTACCTCAACACCTACATCCTAGACAAGGTGACACCTCGTCACACGCACCGCCTACCTCAACACCTACATCCTAGACAAGGTGACACCTCGTCACACACCGCCTACCTCAACACCTACATCCTAGACAAGGTGACACCTCGTCACACGCACGCCCTACCTCAACACCTACATCCTAGACAAGGTGACACCTCGTCACCCGCCCTACCTCAACACCCACATCCTAGACAAGGTGACACCTCGTCACACGCCCTACCTCAACACCCACATCCTAGACAAGGTGACACCTCGTCACACGCACGCCCTACCTCAACGCCTATATCCTAGACAAGGTGACACCTCGTCACACACACGCCCTACCTCAACACCTACATCGTAGACAAGGTGACACCTCGTCACACACACGCCCTACCTCAACGCCTACATCCTAGACAAGGTGACACCTCATCACACGCACCACCTACCTCCACACCTACATCCTCGACGAGGTGACAACCTCATCACGAGGTGTCACAAGGTGACAACCTCGTCAAGTCTCCCATGGTCCCCGGCGGCCACGCTGATACCTTGGGTCTCGTTATGTTCGCGTCATCCTCCACCGCTCCACCGCTCCCGCACTGCCGCCCCGTTCCCCGAGCGGCGTCTCCAAGTGCGGCTGCATCCACGTGGGTTTCTGTGGTCGTCGTCGTCATCATCACCATCAGCCTCGATAAATCAGTTGCTCGAACAAGGCCTCCCTAAGCCATTGCTCCATTGACGTAATGCTTTAAATGAGATTCATACACAAGCAAGAGATGTTAACTACCTCGCCTGGTACGCAGGCGAGGTAGTAATATATGGAGTTTGCCTGCTCTCCCCGTGGTCGTGTGGATTCTTCTCCGTGTCCTCCAGTTTTTCCATCGTCATTGAGAAACAAGCGTTTCGAGTATTTGGCTTCTATAAATTTCCACGTGATAAGCCACTTCACTGGGCTATAATTTGGGGCCAGGTCACTTCATAAAAATAGCTATATACGTAGCTCAATGGGCCTTACATGGTAAAAATAATAATAACATAGTTTAAAAAGTTAAAACAGTGTTGATAAATGCATCAGATCGTGCGTGTGAGAATTGGCACACAGTGCCATGCCTACGTTACGGTTAGGCTCCTGTGTTAAAACGTTAATCGACAACCAAGACAAAACTGTTACGACGCCGCAAATGAGACGGCGCCATACGACTTAGACGAATCGATCCTCGAATGAAATCGTGACCACCAACGTAGAGATACGTATAATAATGCTTCGACTGCATACTCTTGCTCACCAATTGCATTGCTTGACAACACAGTCGGTGTGAGCAATGCAGGCTCCAACCGCCAAGATGAGAGCAGGCCTTTCACGAGTGTTTGAATCCTCTCAATGCCTCAGCGCGGTTACTGATGAAGAGATCAAAACGTTATCATCATGAAGATGTTGCCTCACCCGGGGGTCAGCAACCTGCGGCTCCGTAGCCGCGTCCGGCTCTTCAAGAACCGCTTCGTTGCATCATTTAATTAAGCGCCAATCACCGTATCTCGTATTCACCCCACAGTGCACTGCGGCTCCTGAAATATTGAGAGTTTTTTTTTTACCAAATTCGAAAAAATGGCTCTTCTTGTTTTTTTGGTTGTCCACCCCTGGTCTAACCTGTTGGAAGTCAGCTGATATTGTTCAATGTATAGAATGGTCCTTGCCACAGGATTGTGGGATTTCTGCTTGTTCTTATTATATAGCCGCCTCGGGGTATAAGCACTGGCCAACACATTCTGAGCGGGACCCTCCTGAAGATGTCAATCAATCGATTAAACTTTATTTCATTTTATTTCCCCTTCCCAATAGAATCGTGACAGAGCACTTCACGTGCAAACATAGCATTGCGTCATTAAATGATGGCATGCGCAAAAATAGTCAAAAACTGTACACGGTTAAAATTATATCAAAGAGAGCCTCTCATCGTGCCTTTCAGGGACGCATCCCCCGACATAAACCGGTGTATCTCTGTACTGTAAATTCATAGCGGTTGTAGACATCGTAGCCAGCACCATAGCAGCCCCGCACAATGGACGTGATGCATGGCGCGGGGTGGGTGAGCAACAGTCAGTGTCCAATTAAGCAGGGAGACATTTTCACGAAGACTGGAATTAGCCGACGGTAAAAACACTTGATTGAATTTTCCACATCGGTGCGGTACGCACACACACACATATATATCTTGCGTGAAGCAATCAAGTTGACAAGCCAGAAGATCGTGTAAAATGTAACCACGGTAAATGGTTTCAATGAAAGCGGTTGTGGTGCGACCCGTTTCAGTGCAGTGAGCTGCCGGTCATTAAACTCCGGTTCCTGCAACGTGGCAAGAGAAATGTAACGGTTCCTTGGCAAAACTTCATCTTTGATGAAAAAAAACTATTCCTAGTGCCTGCTCAACATGAAGATAATAACATTTGTTCTGTCAGAGCCCCCTCGGTGGTTTGCGAAGTCACAGCACTGTTCGCATGTCAAGAGTAACCGGGACAAAATAACTCCAAGTGACCCATTGGTTGGCACGGGAAAAAAAAAAACCTCAAACGCGTTCATCAGTAACACTTTGTGTGTGTGGCATTACAAGGAATAATGTATGATAGGCGACGTTTCGGGCAATGGCCCTCCTTCTTGGCAGTTGCAGTTGTCACGGCAGGTACTCAAAACCGCAGAAGTCCGCTGATGAAGCGGCGGCCTCGACCTCCGCGCTCGCCGCCTGACGAAGCTCGCCGCAGTTTCGAGTCACGAAGCTGCGCCGCGGCCATGGCCCAAGAAAGGCAAACGAACCGATGATCAAGCAAACCCCCGGCTCACCAGTGGCAGCAATTGCGAGGGGCCGGTCGAGCAGAAGCTCTGGCCGTGCAAGCGCTTGGCTTGCACGGCAAGACCAGCACCAGCAGCAGCACCAGCTGCAGCAACAAAACCGCTTCTCTCGCGCCGCACGTCCGTTCACTTCTCCTTGGCATTGCCCCCTGCGCCAGTTGGCAATCGCTCAGGGCTCTCCGAAAGGGCTTATCCCGTCCGCGCTCACAAAGACCCCTCTGTTTTCCGTTCGCCCTCTCAGCGCCGCGGCGAGCGGGCCCGCGAGACCGACGGCAACGCACGCTAAACGTGGCGGGTCGCAGACCTCGTCGGGGAGGAGCGTCAGAGGGCGAACAAAGCAGGCGGCGCAGGGGGTAGCGATCCCGCGGCGCGGCGTTCAGCTGGCGCCCCTGGGGGCCTGGGGTTCGAATCCACCGGTGGTAACTTTGTTCGTGCAGTCGGTTTTTGTTTTTTTAGTCAAATAAAAAAGACCAACGACGACACGTGGACGAGAATCGTCGCGCGCGACGACGATCGCCACCGCTCCCCGACCGCAGATTGCTCGCGCGACCGACTGGGACTCCGTCTGCCTCGAGACGCAGGCTCAGCCACGTTTGCGACGTTGTTACGAGGCTGCTGTGCTGATCTGATTGTATGGGCTGGCTGGTGGTGGAGGGGTCGATTGCATCCCCTCTCACACCAATGGTGAATAGCTGCAAGTCGACTATGCTAGGAGAACGATTTGAATGAAAGCCACCGACTGAAACTGTGGCTATAATTCCACAGATTATCGTTGGCTCCGACGGTAAGGGTGCGGCAGCCCTGCAACTGCTCGCTCGTGCCACTGCTGGCGGAAGGGCCTGCATTAGAGGGAGCTCTGGGGAGGACGCCTGGAGGGGGTGGTTCTGCCCAACTTCTGTCACGCCGGGCCAGAGACGCCTCGGGAGACTTGAGGCCGTGACTAAAATGGAAAATGCTGAATAAATTAACGCGGCCGGCCACCAGCGTCCCTGAGTTGGTGGTCTCAGGCCGGTTGCTGTTGACTGCACAAGAACAGGTCACCGGAATAGTTACATTTGTTTGTCACTCAGCGTGGCGCGCTCCGGGTTTTAAGGATTGGCTTTCATTGTTCGTCACGTGTGCGTGCACTCTTTGAGAAGCAGATGAGCAGCGCGTGAAAAGTATTTTCTTTTATTTCAAAAGTAGCTGTCGCATCAAGTTCAAGTTTATTTTGTTTAAGTCGTTGAGGACTCAAGCTTGAGACCAGGATAGAGTCTCATTTGGGTGCCACGGTGGCGACAAGTTAACCACCTCGCCTGGTATGCAGGAGGTCGTGGGTTTGATCCCGACCCTGACGCCGTTATATTTGGAGTTTGCATGTTTCTCTCTCCGTGGTCGTGTGTATTTTTCTCTGGGTCCTCCAGTTTTTCCCTCCACATTTGGAAACATTCCCTTCGAGTACTAGGCTGATATAAATTTCCACGTGGTGATAAGCCACTTTGTTGAGCTATCATTTGTGGCCAGGTCGTTTCTGGAAAAGAGGTATAGAGCTCAGTGGGTCTTAACTGGTAAAATATTTTAAAAAGTTTAGTTTTAGTCTCATTTGCAAGAGTGACCTGCGGTGCATTAGTCTGCGGATAGGAGTTGATTATTTGCTCTGTGTAATCCCAATTAAGTAATTTGCGGTCAAATTTTTTTTAATTTGGCAAATTTGGACCTTTACACCGAGACACACTGCCCTTGCGAATTATCTCAGGGGGATCTGTAACGTCCACTATGAAGTAGACTGCGCAGACTTGTTTTTGTAACTCTACCCCTGAGTAATAATTGGGGTGACCGCTGGCTTCGAACTGTGAACCTCCGAAACAAGCGGCGAAGACACTACAGCTGGGCCACGTTACCGCCCCGGTATCATACTTGAGCGCCATTCCGTAACCCTTTCCCGTTCCGATGACGTTCGTGTACGTCATCGGAACGGAACCTGAATAAAATAATTGTATCAGTACCGAGGCTCCCACAAGGCCATGCAGGAGGGCTTGTGGCACAGTTTGGTGCCAACTATTGTAGAGTGCGGTCGTGTCCGCTACAGTTCTCCACGGTGAGTACAAAGTCTTTAAAAACAGCGGCGCTACGCCTCTCTAAATCAAATTCACGCTGGGCCACTTGTGCGTTCTGAGATTCAGCGGTGAACAGGACAACACCCACCCGGCGACTTGCAGACGTCTCGAAATGGGGAAGGGTTAACCCACCGGGTTTCACGTTACGCTGCTCGCAGGGAGAGTTCCGAACGGAAGGGTCTTCATCTCATGCCATGCCACCTTGAGCCGATTCGAATAACATTGTGAGAGAAAGGCAACAACATTATTTCAAGCCGGATTCCTGAACAAAAAATAATATTACCAATGGCAAGGTACCAACAACGTCCGGTCACTGTTGGCCAGCTTGCGATCGGATAACAGTTACCTAGTGCTGGTGTGTCACCTAGCTTGTAGTGTTTCATGGCATATACGATTACGTTCCCTTCCCTTGAAAGAAAATAAAACATTCCAAAAAGAACAAAAAGTGTGTGTAGGGGGGGAGGGAGTTAAACTAATTATTTGGTGATGCTCCGTTGACAGTGGTGTAGGAGCACAGTTGATTTGCCTGCCACGAAGAACAGCCACTCCCTGAAACGTCGCCTATTATACTTTTCCTTTAAGGCCACACCGGTGTTTTTTGAGGAACGCGTTGAGTTATTATTATTATTTTCGTGAACAGAGGGGCAAATGATCGTGCCAGCGGCTTGGGGTGACGCGAGGACAGAAGCAGCAACAGAGAATGCGCGCAGCTCACGACACACCGCCAACGATGATCGCAGCGCTGACGTTTCCGACGGTAACGTCAAATAGTTTCCCCATTCAAACAAAATCTTAAGGACCCCGGGCCAGAGCAGGAAGCGCTTTCTGTTCGACGTCTGAGCTTCTGCTGAAACTGAGGATGCTGGATTGTGGCCTCCACAATCCATGCTGCAGCCATGTCAATGTCGTCAGATTGTGTTCAACAACAACAACAACGTCGTCATCAGATTGTGTTCAACAACAACAACGTCGTCAGATTTTGTTCAATAACAACGTCGTCAGATTGTGTTCAACAACAACAACAACAACGTCAGATTGTGTTCTCCAACAACAACAATGTCGTCAGATTGTGTTCTCCAACAACAACAACGTCAGATTGTGTTCAACAACAACAATGTCGTCAGATTGTGTTCTCCAACAACAACGTCGTCAGATTGTGTTCAACAACAACAACGTCGTCAGATTGTGTTCTCCAACAACAACAACGTCAGATTGTGTTCAACAACAACGTCGTCAGATTCTGTTCAACAACAACAACAACGTCAGATTGTGTCAACAACAACAACAATGTCGTCAGATTGTGTTCTCCAACAACAACAACGTCAGATTGTGTTCAACAACAACAACGTCAGATTGTGTTCTCCAACAACAACAACGTCAGATTGTGTTCTCTAACAACAACAACAACGTCAGATTGTGTTCTCCAACAACAACAACAACGTGGTCAGATTGTGTTGAGTTCACACAAACAATATGTTGATGTGAAGTAAATAATGAACATACGTAATCAAGGAATCTCAGCGTCCTGCTTGGATTGCATCACAAGTGGGATTACGTTGATTGTACGTTGATTGCAATCGGGGCCGACCCTCCCTGTGTCGCACACACGCTGCCCGGTAGCCAGTGCCGGGAACTTCGTTTGACGGCGTTTGCCTTGGAGCTGTGGGGTCACTGCTTCGCACTCTCACGCACGAGACACAGAGCCAGCGCCGCCGAGATCCTGGGTTACAGATGCCTTCATGGACTTGCTCCACCGTATCTCGCCACGCTTGTGTCTCTCTACGTCGCCTTCTCGCCCTTTGCTGTCTCTCTCGCTCTGCTCACTCCTTCTCCTTGTGCCCAATCACATGCTCTCGCTCTTTCTCCCGCTCCCTCTTCTCGCCCCCTCACTGGAACAAACTTCCCCTCCGCGTTAGGCAGTCACCTTCGCTCACTCGTTTTCACTCCTCACTGAAAACTCCCTTGTTTTCCCCTAGCACACCCCTTACTCCTCCTCTCATAACCACCACTATCACTGTTCCCTCTTCATATTCTCATCACATGGCTATCACTCACCATTCATTCAATCCATTCATCATCATTTACTACCATCAATTCACTCTCATCACAGATTCGCCCACTGCCTCCTCTCTTGTATTTAATTCACCTCATCTCCACCATTGGATAAGGCACTACATATATTCCTTTAAGACACGATGAGAGTTCACAGCGGGGTCAGGCAGAGCCCTCGTTGTACGGCCGCGCTTGATGGCAACGTTTCCCCCCGTTCGGCCACGTCCGCACTAAAAGCGCCTGGGCGCGTGCGGTCTGCGCACAGCCGCACAAAAGATTCAATCCCTCCCACGGCGCAGAGTACGGCGATTTTACGGCCGGTGCTGAAAGCGCTCTTCGGCAACTGAAAGTCCTGGGACGTGGAGCTATGCGGGACAACCACTTTTGAGAGTGACCTGCCCTGCAACATAGAGCCGTTCACCACATGGCAGTCAAACCGATCTTTTTTTGATTCTCAGAATTTGTACTTTGCAACAAATTAAAAGGTTTGCAAAGAACTTTCAACGCGGACGGGTTGTCTCAGTGCGGCCGTTGGCGACTCGGCTGATGACCCTTCAGCTCGCCGCACTTGAGAAGACCCTGTTCAATCACGGGTGGCGGAAACTTTGGGAGTCGAACCCAGGACTCTCGGCAGCAACCGTGGTTCAGCGCTCGGACCTCTGAGCGGCAACTGCCGTCAAAGCGTTTCACGAAAGTCACTCGAGGCTGCATTGTTGGCATTGCAAGCTGCGGACGGCGCCACTTTCGCAAGGCCTCACACGGTTACTTAAAAGTCAGAGCGACTCTCCCCCGGGCGGCACTCATCACCACTGGCCGCCCTGAGCCAGTGGTGGAAATTTCTGCATTCCCAACGCCAGAGACCCGTCTATCTCAAGAACAGCCGAGGTCGACATCCCACCACCGAATAGGGCGCATTTAAAATGAGACCGAATGCTCAAATAATATTCCTGGCCGGGCGGCGCTGTAAGGGCTCTGGACAGACTCACGGTGGCGAGATGTCAACTAGCTCGCCTGGTATGTAGGAGGTCATGGATTCGATCCTGACCCTGATGCCTCTATATTTGGAGTTTGCAAGCCTCTCTCCCCGTGGTCGTGTGGATTTATCTCCGGGTGCTCCGGTTTTTCCTTCCACATCTAGAACTGACACGCATTCAGAGTATTTGGCTGCTACGAATGTCCACGTGATAATCCACCTCGTTGAGCTATCGTTTGTGATGGCCAGATCGCTTCCGAAAAAGAGCGACATAGCTCAGTGAGCCTTACCTGGTAAAAAAAAAAATAGTTTAGTTTAGCAGTGGATCACCTCATCCTCCCGACGCTGCGGACCACCCACGGATGTCGTGGGCAACCGCACGTCACGCTCTGCATCGTTGCTGCCAAGCGAGTGGGACATAGCGGATAACTCGGTGACTCTCGATGCGGGAGGGAGTCGGGGAAGGGCCGCAACTAACCCGCGTGTGGGTGTGATGCGCAGGTGCAGAAGGGCGGCTATGACAAGTGCCAGTTCGACGAGGTGTGCTGGATGATCGCTGCAAAGAAGAACTTCTTGCGCAACCGTGCCGACGCCGCCATCATCAGCCACAACGACGCCTTCAAGCTCTGGAGGATCTTCAACTTCCTGTCGGAGGATACGTATCCACTCGTCATGGTGCCCGAGGAGGTGAGCACAAGCTCGCGTTTTACGCCCCGCGCAGTCGGCCGCAAGGGAGGAAGCCGTTGCCTCCTTCCCCAGTGCCAAGTCTCGCAACTGTTGTTCAGGCAACTCCTGTCCCTGTATCCTTTCTTATGATACGCCACCGTCTGAGCTTCAGGTCTTCCGCTTGGTGGCTGAACTCTGGGTGCCACCTCGGTGTCTGTCTCAGTTGGCGTGCCCTCCTCTGGCACGCACACCCGTCCCACCCATCACAGCCGTCCGCTTCCTGTTAACGTCCGCAACAATGCTTTGTAGCAACATCATACGCCTTGTGCGTTGTGCGAAGCCGCAAGCATTCCCCGCGTGCACCGGTTCAAAACGGCCAGAGGCTTCTTTGCAAATTATTTTTAAAGTCCCTTTGCTCGTTCAACTAAATAAATAAAAACGTCACACGTGAAATGCTAAATGTCAGCGAGACCCACAGGCCGTTGTGGAGGAGAACCGGTTTTTGCTCCTACGCGCAAAATAACTCAATTATTTCAAGCATCTGGTTGAATTAAGTGCCCAAATATACTGCACGGGCCGCAGCCCTGCCGTTGTGAGACGTCACGGCCGTGCTTTTGTCTCCGTGATATCTCGTCACATTTTCAGACAGCTGCGGCCCCGTGATATGGCCGGGCCCAGCCGGGCCATGTCGGGCCGTGCCACCTGTCGCGGGGAAGTTCGCGAATCAAGCCCGGCGGCCGCCCTTGTCAATACCGCGTGACTGCATTAATCACAGAAACGTTTGCCGCCCCACTCCACGGTGGACGTTAAAGATCCAGTGACGTCACTCGCGGAAGGCTCGGCCGTTGTGCGGCGGCGGCGGCGGTGGCAGCGGCGACGTGGTCAAAATTTGCCAAATTTGGAAAAAATTGTCCGGAAATTGTGATGACACGCGGCAGCATAGCTCCCTTTTGGCAAGCTAGGCCCATCATGAAGGGAGGCGCTATGTTTCAAAGGTGGATATACATATGTTGAACTTATACGTACGGTGCGAAAGAAGTTCGACATACACATATATTCATCGGTGACACATAGCTCCTTCCTCGTGATAGGCTTGCACTGAGGGCCTTACCTGGTAATATAAAAATAGTATTTACTTTTTTAAAGAATCGCATGAGAGTACCGAATGTAGTGCTCAATCGACGATAACTTACACTGCTTATGTTACACTTTTTTAACTTTTATTTTTGCTTAGGTTTGTGTTGCCGTGGTTCGCTTCGGCAATGAGCTGGCCTCACTAACGTTAGGCTCCGCCCGAGCACTCGAAATCCCGCTTTGTTTGCAACACTAATCTTGTACTCCTTCCGAAATGAAATAATAAAACCTCACCTCATGTTTTTGTTGACGCTGCTCGACGGACAGAAGCATGCGCATTCGGCCGGTCGGCACGTGTCCGTAATATATCAATTCGTCAAGCAACATAGGCGCTTACTCACATGATGCGTGAGATAATTGGTGCGTGTAAGAAGCAACTGTCTGGGATTGATATTCATCGTACGCACATGTAACATTGGGGCAAATTGTGCGAACCTAAACTGTACAAATTTGGACAGAACAATTGGAAAACGATGCAAAATGGGAGGATTAAAAACCGAGGCTGGGTTGTTGGCAAGACGTGCAGAGTAATCAGAGACTCGCCATAGATCTGCGGCCCCGAACATGGGGTTTGCGTCGCTGCTTTATGCCGTGAAACAACACATTCATGACTTTCCATTGGAACGTCAAAAATAGAACGTCGATTCTACATTCGTGTTCACCGAGTCACATCCTCTCTTGGTTGAAAGAGGTCGGAGAGATTTATTTTATTTTATCAGGTCAAGGCACCCCGAGCCATCATGTAGCTCGTTTTCAGAAGCGACCGGGGCCACAAATCAAAGCTCAACAAAGTGGCCTTGTCGTGTGTACATTTAGTAGCTGCCAAATACTCCAAACGCACGTCGATTCTAAATGTGCAGGGAAAAAGTGGAGGAGCCGGAGTTTAGAGCAGCAGTGGAGTGAGCGAGCAATTACGGGAGCCACCATTCAGAATCAGAATCAGAAAGGGGTTTTATTCGCCGTGAAAGTTCGCACAGACAAGGAATTTACCTTGGCAGGAAGGTGCATACAACCAAGCGCTAACGCCGCAACTCATTAACGTTGCTGCTTCTACCTTCTCCCCACCGTCCCCGTACCATTTGTGCCAACATCCTCCCCCCCCCCGACTCCTTGACCCCATGACCCTCCCCACCCGCACCACCTCTACTCCCCCCCCCACGCGTCCTGCGCGCCCGGTGGGGGGCCCACCGCTCCCCCCGGCAGGTGGAGTTCCTGCTGCGCAAGCTCGTGGCGGCGATGGGGGGCGACTGGCAGTCGGCCGAGACTCCAGAGCTGCGCATGCTGCTGGGCGGCAGCAAGCGCAGCAGTTCGGCGGAGGAGCGGGGAGGCGGCGGCGGCGGCGTCTCCGTGTGGGAGCTGCTCTCCTTCCTGGACGCCCAGCCGCTCACGCCCGGCCTCGAGCCGCGGGCCGTCTCCTTCGCCATCGACGACGTCCACGAGGAGTTCCTCCTCGACGTCATGAAGAAGGTGCCACCACCCGACCCGCGCGAGTTCTCCGCGCGGGTCGCAACGGATGGGGCGGGCGTCTCGGAAATATTGGACATATGTGGAAAAGAGCTTTGAAGCTAATCGGATTCCTCCAGTATAAAGATTCTGATTTGTGGAAGGGACGATGGATGGGTTTTTGGCTTGTCGGCGTTGACTGGATTTTTCGTTTTTGTTACGAGTGGTTAGGTAGTTGAATGGGTGGGGTGATATTTGCACGGATGTATGGATGGATGAGTGACTATATGTTGAGCTTCTTTGGCACCGTACGTAGCCAACCGTGCTAATCGGAGGTGTGGGGGAAGGACAACAAACGAAACACAAAAAGCAGTTCTAAAGAAATGATGATTTAAAAATGCATAGCTCCAGTGGCTTCCTAATATCGGAAGGAAGAGCGTTCCAGGTGGCCGCAGAAGCGCATCTGAAAACGCGCAAAGCGTTAACCATCTTTGTTCGATGGCAAGCCAAAAGCTGCTGCAAGGATTTATATAATGGTTGGATGGCTGGATGGATGGAAGGTTGTTTGTCTGTTTGGCTTGTTGGCTAGATCGTTGGAACTTAGTTTTTTTCATTGACCATGTGGTCCTTTATTTGGATGTCTGACTGACCTGAGTGACAGGTTGGATGTTTGAATGGTTTAGTGGATTTTGGTATGGTCGTTTGGGCGGTTGTGTGGTTGGATGAAAAGTTGTCTGTTTGAATGGCTGGTGGGCTACCTGACGTGCTGACTGCCCTGCCTGGCTGATTGGTTTCACAGTTGGCTTGTCGGCCTGGTTAACTGAATGAATGACCGGCTGTATGGCTGCCTGATTGCTGTGACACCGTCATCATCATCGTCATCATCATCGTCACCATCGCCAGTCCGGTGAATCATCCACCCACCCACCTGAACGAGGATGAATGCATTCAAACTAATTATCCGATTGTGCTCACGACAGGGCAGCCTCAGCAAAAAGGGCCACCGGCGTAAGAATTGGACAGAGCGATGGTTCGTGCTGCGGCCGGGCACCATGTCATACTACATGAGCGAGCACCAAAAGGAGAAGAAGGGAGACATCGTGCTGGAGAGGCCCTGCTCTGTATCGGTGAGCCACGCAGAGATACGCCCACTGTGCTCCCCAGTGTGTCATTTCGCTGCGTTTTAGCCGCCCGGCGCTCCGTTCGCTGTTGTGAGCCAAGCTTCTCCACTCTCCGTTGTTGCTGGGGGTCGACTGCCTGCAACTGTCCGGTTGCGTCCTTCACGAGCCGATCTTGACACCAATGTTACCGATCATCGCGCAGGCGAGCATGCATAGACGCACACACAAATACACGCAAGCACACATGCAAAACAAAGACAAATATCCGCCACCATAGCCTTAACAGACTATTGGGGCAAGTGCTGTTAGTGAGCACCAATGAAGGCCGGCGTGGCACACGAGGGGGTGGTTACCCAGCACCACGTCCGGCCACCTTTGTCTTCCTATTGGCGAAGTTTATACAACACACCAGTCGACCTAGGGGAAGCCCAAGACCGGTTCAGATATTCGTCACTGGTGTTGGTCATGAGTGGGAATCGAACTCGGGTCACCTGGTGTACACACTGACACGGGTACACACTGACACGTGCGCACACACACGTGCTCCCACACACAACAAGAGCTGCCATGCGCCACTAAGTGCCGGGCTAGGTGCACGTGTGGTCACGTGGAGTGTCAAAGGCTCCCTAGCAGGTCATTGAACAGATGTACATAGGTACCATGGATTAATTGACTGAGATGACTGGCAGATGCACCACCCGTGCCCGCTATTGTGCCAACTTGCTGTGTTCTATCCACCCGGCACTACATTCATTGTTGTGAGCGTCACTCCTCCGCCCTGCGTTGTTGTAGGAGGGCGACTGTCTCCAACTGCCCAGCAGCGTCTTCCATGAACTTCCTGCACAGAGGCCGATGTTGACACCGCTGGTACCAGTCACTCTGGTCGTCGGGTCCATAATCCAGTGCGCTAACTACGACACCACCACTCTCACACGTACACTCCGAGCACCACCTGTCCGCGCAGTGCCTGTCTATGGATAAATTTGACCCTGTCACAGGAATGCAGAACTACCACGACTGGATCGGGGCCGCCACGCGAAAAGACGCGCCTCGGCCGAGCGAGTCGGTCGCCCATGCGTTGTTCTCGTGCCGTCCCTTGGCAGTCGATCGTAGACAAAGACGGCAGGAAGTGCTTGTTCATGATCAAGGGCTTGGAGAAGAGCTTCGAGATCAGCGCGTCCGACCCGCGGCAGAAGCAGGAGTGGATCACGGGTACGGAGCCCCTCGCGGCGCACGCGCGTCCAGACCCTCCGCGTACCCTCCGACGTATTCCATGCCCCCCCCCCTGCCCCCGTGTATCACCGCCCAACGGGTATCGAAATGCAGTCGTGTTGGGCGTTAACTCGTCCAAGGTGCCGGAAGCCAGCCCTGGGGTCTCCGCGCGAGACGGACGGGCGAAGGGGCGGCGTCTGAAGGCCTCCGGACGAAGTCCGTGGAGTTTTTGTTGCGTAAAAAAAAAACTTACGTGACAAAACCGTACGAATTGGCCTGCATCGAGTGTATGGTGGGTTGCCGACGCATTCGCATTCACGCGATCTGACCCAACAAAGAAACGTTATTGCGAATGATATTGGTCGCGAAAGCCGACTGCTACGCGTTGAATTGACAAGTTGGGTTCCGCTGCTGAGGTCGCTGATTGCAGCCCCCTGTGGGGACCGCCGCGGTGGCTAGGAGATGTTAACTACCTCGCCTGGTATACGGGAGGTCATAGGTTCGATCGCAACCATGACGACGCCTGTGCCGCATTTTCAAACGAGCTGTATAGGTCACTGAACCGTAGCCGTCATCGCACGGCTCACAAACGTACACCCGGACATGCGATTTACGCCGTCTTGCCATGCGCTAGAAGGAGATTGTCATTTAATGGAACCTCTCCGGCCTTAATTAATAGTGATTTAGCACATTTGGTATTTGCGCTGTTTTTGTCGCCAAGGCTGTCAGGAAGGCACTGCTGTGTTTCGCAGACAGATACGGTGTTGCCAATCGGAAGCGATTTTGGCATTACTCGTTTCGCATGACGCCAGAGGATCCTTCACGGCGCGTATTCATAATGGTTGTCCAGCACCTTGCAGTCACAGCCAGGGCAGCCTGCCGGAGTTGAGCAGCGAAACCCTCCGCTGGGCCACGCCACGTGGCCTGATCAGTGCCTTGGCATCGACAGGTGCCGCCCGCTGGCTTGCGTTGCTGCTCTGGAGACCGGGAGATCGATGATCGATGTTCGGCCACGGCGGCCGAACATATTTTCCCACGCGCTTAACCTTCAACAATGCACGTTCGACCCCGATGAAGCTTGGAGAGCCGAATGGAGTTCAAAGGAACTCGCAAACAGACACCTTCTCGTGAAAAACGCAACGCAGAATATCCCTGGGTTTGATCTTCCACAAAGCTCATGGCCCACCCTAGACCGCTTCGGCACAAGCCATGGCAGATGCGGATACCCGATGCAACAAATGAAAAATGAAAAACTTTCCAGCGGGCAACTGTGGCCATCCAGAACAGACCATAGTACAACACATAACGGCGCAATGCCCCGATCCATAAATACGAAGGAGACATCACAGCGATGATATCACTCCGCTACTGCTTCAGATGCAGTTGTCTGGCTTGACCACCTGAATGTGAAATTGTAGTCGTTGCTGTGCATCTACATCAGCCATACGAAAGGAGGAGGACGGAGAGGCCCGTTGGCCCACACATGACTTTTGCACTTCCCCTACGCCGCTGTTCAGCTGCACAACCCTGTATATATTTATAAATATACATTCGTGCACACCAACGTCCGCATTCTGTGTTTATTCCTGGATGCACTGCGGCCGTTCCGGGACAAATCTGCGGTTGGAATTGCGAGCGAGTCGACCCCAGGTCACGTGCTCGAGTCGTGCCGCTGACGCTGGCTCGTTCGTTCGGGTTAGGTGTAGGCCTGGTACCTGGTTTGTTGCTACAATTAGTGCTCATGTGTGGTTGGCTAGTTTTATAGGGTGAGTGGTAGGGCTAGTCTCTAGTTGGTTACTTTAATAGTGTGCGAGGATTAGACTCTGGTGAGCTAGCTTGGCAGGGCGAGTGCTAGGACCAGTCTCCGGCTGGTTGGTGTGCTCTGGCTCTCACGTGACCCACCTTCCCGCGCATGGCGGTCTCAATGGGGGTATGCCACATCTGGCCCAGCGGCGGGTCACGCGCCGGCCAGGCGAGGCCGCGGGGACAATCTGCCCCGACGACGGGGCCGCCCTCGTGAGCTCCGTCTCGCGACCAGATGGAGACCCTTGGCGCCAGCGTGTGACGCGCGGAACCAAATCGCGGGCGGGCGCCTCCGCCGCCGCCGCCGCCGCCCCCTCTTTACCTCTCCCTCGCCCCCTCCCCCCAACGTGCCACCTTCCCCCGGGCCCGCAGCCCTGCAGGCGTCGATCCGCCTGCGCGACGAGGGCAAGTGCTCGCCGCACGCCGAGCTGCGCCAGCGGCGGCGCGAGGAGCGGGGGCGGCGGCGCGAGGAGCAGGCGGAGCTGGCGCGGCGCATGACGGAGCTGCAGGCGGCGCGCGACACCCAGAACCGGGAGCTGCAGCAGCTGGCGCAGGCGAGGGCGGCGGCGGGGTCGAGCCGCGGGGGCGGCGAGGGCTCCCCTTTGTCCGCCATTCCGGATGACGGGGAGCTCTCGCTGCGCTGGGGGGGGGGGATAAGCCCGTCTCGCGATGGATAGCCAAGCAGGGCTCAAGATCCCGTGGGTTTAACGTAGCTACCCGCGCTTACAGGGGCTGCGCCCGTAGGCGCACGGTTTTATTCGTTGTGCTGGCGAGCCAGGGGTGCCACTCCTCCTTGACGCCCACGGTGCACCGAAACCTCACGGCCGCCACGGTGCTGGGTTGCAGGCCACTCGCGGAGCCACCGCCGCCCGGCAAACGCGAGGTCGCCGCGTCACCACGACGCCGCGACCTTCTCGCCCGCAGCCCGTGCTGACCCTGCACCTGACCTGGCTCCTGACCCGGCTGCTGACCCTGCACCTGACCCTGCTCCTGACCTGGCTCCTGACCCTGACCCTGCCCCTGACCCTGCTCCTGACCCTGCTCCTGACCTTGACCCTGACCCTGCTCCTGACCCTGCTCCTGACCTGGCTCCTGACCTGGCTCCTGACCCGGGCTCCTGACCCTGCTCCTGACCCTGCTCCTGACCCTGACCCTGCTCCTGACCCTGCTCCTGACCCTAACCCTGACCCTGACCCCGCTCCTGACCCTGCTCCTGACCCGGCTCCTGACCTGGCTCCTGACCCTGCTCCTGACCCTGCTCCTGACCCTGCTCCTGACCCTGCACCTGACCCTACTTCTGACCCTGACCCTGCTCCTGACCCTGCTCCTGACCCTGCACCTGACCCTGCTCCTGACCCGGCTCCTGACCCTGCTCCTGACCCTGCCCCTGACCCTGCTCCTGACCCTGACCCTGCTCCTGACCCTACCACCTCACCCAGGCCTCTGACTCGAGCCTCGACTCTCTGACTCGCCACAACCCCACGCCTCACCCCGAACATCGCTCTCACAGTCACTCCGAACCCCCGCAAATCCTCACGACAACGCTTACCCCTACCCTCACACTTAACCCGAACGCTTAACTCACGTTTTATTTAATTATGACGCTTTACTCTAACACCACCTCTAACAATACCACCGCCTGTAGCTATAACCCTAATATTTAACGCTGCACACACGAGACTTCAATTCCTGACCAAAGATCGCCACGTATCACCTTCACAGACTGCTGGGGCAAGTGTTGTTAACGAGTAGCGGCACGGCACACGAGGGGGTGGGCGGCCGGCACCACGCCCGGCCTTTTTGTCTCCCTAGTGGCGATGTTTTTACACCGCACCAGGTACTCATTTGAGGCTGAGTCGACCTTGGGAAGGCTCAGGACCAGTTCAGATAATCGTCACCGGTGTTGAACGTGAGCAGGATTGTAACCAGAGTCGTCGGGTTCGCAAGCACAGCGCGCTCACCGCCACGCTTCCCATATATTCCTGACCGCTCACCCTGCCACCAACGGCGCTCGTCGCAACACGACCTCTGTTCCTGACCGCTGACCCTGCCGCCACCCAGGCCCACCGCGAGGCGGAGGCGCGAGCCGCCCTGGAGGAGCAGCTTCGTCTGCAGAGCCAAGTGGAGCTGCAGAAGCACTACGAGTTCGAGCTGCTCAAGGAGAAGCAGGTGCGGGCGTGCGTCTTGGTCTTTGTCTTTGTGTGTGTGTGTGCGTGCGTGCATCTTGGTCTTTGTCTTTGCGTGTGTGTGTGTGCGCGAGTGCGCACGTGTGCGAGGTGAGCTATCATGAAGCGCTACGGAGCCGGTAACCCGGGTCCGATCATTTGAATCGGTCCTGAGCCTCCCCTAGGTCGACTCAGCCTAAAATGAGTACCTGGTGCGGCGTGTCATCTTTTTCACTGGGGAGACAAAGCTGGTCGGGCGCGATGGTGGCCACTCACCCAACGTGCGCCGTGCCGACCTTCATAGTATTTTGCCTAAGAGCCTGTGAAAGGCTACATGGGGGATCTTTGTTCGCGCGTGTGTGTGTGTGCGTGTGTGCGTGTGTGTGCGTGTGCGTGTGTGCGCGTGTGCGTGTGTGCGCGTGTGCGTGTGTGCGCGTGTGTCTACCTTCATGTGCGATCATCGGTAACGTTGGTGTTAAGATCGGCCTCTGTGGGGGAGGTTTGTGAAGGACGCCACTTGGAGGTTGCAGGCAGCCGCCCTGCAGCAACAACAGAGGGTAGAGGAGCGACGCTCACAACAGTGAACGGAGTGCCGGGCGGCTAAAACGCAGCGAATTGGCACAGTGGGGAGCACAGGGGGTGTATCTGTCGGTCATCTCGGTCAGTCAACCCATGGCTTCCGGGCCTGTCCTGTGACCTCCTGTCAGCGAGCCTTTGACACTTTACGTGGCCTCACCGTGCACCTAGACTGGCATAAATGATGTGGTGATGATACCATCACTGAGAGGTGGATGATGATGATGATGGCTGTTGTTGTTTGCATGCAGACATACAGCGGGGAGTGGTGGCGCAGGGGTTAGCGCGTTGTGCGATGTTTCCCATTCACCTGAATTCAATTCCTGGCCACGGCTACGGCTAACATCAGTGGTGGGTGATATCGGATCCGTCCCCCGCTTCACAAAAACCCGCACTGACCATGGTGGTGAAGCATGGTCAAACAACCCCCGTGACCGGACACAACCCAGGCCTTGGAGCCCTTCATTCAGCACTGGATTGGCAAGGAGAGACTGTACATTCTCATATGTGCTCGTCTGACTGTGTGGAATGGTGAGCCCCAACCAGGTCTCCTGTGTGGGTTTTCCCAGCTGTGCTGCGTATCTCTCCGGCGCCTTTCCGGGAACCGAACCTTCCGGCACATGCAGCTGGTTTAGTCACTCTAGGACGTTTTCTTGGTCGTGTTTTTGTTTTGTTTTGCGGTTGCACCCGAGTCAAGAGCCGCATGGCTCACAGGGTTATGCCCAGTACATGAAACTGAATGAATGTCCTTCGTGAACGCGCGAGCACGTCGGCGCTCGTGCGCGTAAAGCGAAAGTTAAAACGAAGCGCAGAAGCGGCCGTCACTCGCTCGTGGAAAAAAACTCACTTCTCGAGAACTGCTTTTTTTGTGTTTAGTTTGCTGTCCTTCCCCCCCGCATCTCCGATTAGCACGGTTGGCGACGTACTGTGCGAAAGGTGTTCGACGTGCATACATACATGCATACACACGTACGTACATCAGCGGAGTTCTGTTGTAGGCGCTCTACTGACGTGCTCACGGTGCCTGCGTGCGGGACTGCCACAGTTCAGTCGATGCAACTCAGCGTCTCTGTCCCCCTGCTGCTCGTAGAACTGTCAACAGTTGCTGCCGGTCTGGCTGTTGCTGGCTCTAGAGGACTCGTACTGAGTTGGACGATTTCTACGAATATCAAACGTGCTCTGCTTTCACGTGGTTTATCCAGAAGCAGGCTCGCCGAGTCTCGAGACTCTTTTCAACAGGATCTTGCACTGGGATTTCTGATTAGATTCTACTTTCAAGTGATCAGGATACTGAAACTGTAATCTGTTTGAATTGTGCGGTCGGTTCATAGTTCTATCATCGTGTGCAGGCTGGCCGTACCTCACGATTACTTTCATCAAATTATTTTAATGAAAGTGGGGTGCCGCGGTTTGCGAGATGTTAACTACCTCGCTTGGTATACAGGAGGTCGTGGGTTCGTTCCCAACCCTGACGCCTGCTGTATATTTGGTATTTGCATGCATCTCTCCCCGTGGTCACGTGGATTTTTCTCCGGGGTCTCCGGTTTTCCCCTCATTTAGAAACATACGCTTCGAGTATTTTGTTGCTATACATTTCCACATGATAATCCACTTTGTTCAGCTACCATTTGTGGCCAGGTCGCTTCTGAAATACGTTGTAACAACAATGTTTCTGAAAGTTGTTAAAATTGCGTAAATGATGGCAAGGTTTAATTTTTATTTTTATTTTGTTTAACCAGGCAAGAACCCAAGTGACCAGGATAGGGCCTCATTTGCAAGAGTGACCTGGGGCACGAGTCTGCCAGTAGGAGGGGGCCGTGATTGCTGCTGCTATGTGTACACAGTACAACAATCCCAATTGAGTTACATTGCGGTGAACTTTACATTTTTTCGGTCACATTTGTACTCTGACGCCGGCACACAACCAACGGCCCGCACTTGCGAATGACATCGGGGATTACTCATTGTTTTTTTCGATAAAGTCACGTATGTAGAAATACAATAAAATTATATGAAAACCAATGAGTAATTTTATGCAGTCACGAAAGCTTTAATACTTTATTGACATCGGGGATTTTTAACGTCAACTGCGAAGCCAGACAGCGCGCATTTTTGCGATTAATGCACCCCGCGGTATTAACCAGGCAGGCCGCTGGATTCTAACCACGAACGTCCGCAACAAGCGGCGAACGTCACGGCAGCAGGAGGAAGCTGAGTTAACGTGAGGGCAGCAGGCGACATGGAGGCGAGGCCACAGGACCGGTTCGGATTAGCGCCGCTGGTGTAGGCCGTGAGCGTGAACAGAACGTGGGTGTCGCCGGCTTCGTAGTGGCAGCGCGCTAAACCGCTGCACCACCGCTCCCCCACACATCTATTTATAGACACACACGCAGATGCGTTGGCCGGGGCTCTTGAGGAACTTCCCTGCGAGGGCGGTTATCACTGCACAGCTGGCAGGCTCCACCGCTCATCGTTATTTTTCATTATTTTTAACCCACGGACGCAAATAACTTCGGGCGCATTTTCCGTGAAATGTCGCCCCCACGCTAACGAGAAGCGATTTGAACGTCCCTCACCCTTAATAGAGGTGTTTGGGTTAGATCGCGTAAATATATAAATGTGTCGTTAAAACCCGCCACCACCCGACACAGCCAACTAGTAAGGGTTGTCACGTAAACAGAACGTGGCCAATTCGTCACTAGTACAGCCACACCGGCTCCCCAACACACAACCGGCGTGCTGTACTAGTGACGAATTGGCCACGTTCTGTTTACGTGACAACCCTTACTAGTTGGCTGTGTCGGGTGGTGGCGGGTTTTAACAATACATTTATATATTTACACGATCTAACCCAAAAAACCTCTATTATGGATGATATTGGTCGCGAAAGCCTACGTGTTAAACTGTCCCTCACCCTGCAAGTTTGGTGGCCTGTCGTGCAATTCACGCACTGAGAGGCAAGTGGCAGCATAGGCTTGAGGGTCAAATTATCACTGTGAATTCTAGATTTGAAGCTTTCGTGACTGCAAGGATCCATACTCTTTGGTTCTATTCGGTAAAGTGACGTAGGTAAAAAATAAAACAACAAAAATCACGACGTTTCGGCCACAACACACGCGGCCTTCATCAGGTGAAGGGACCAGTCTGTCTCGAAGACTGTGCTGGAGTGAAACAGAGCCAAGCTCAGACTACGACCTTTAAGCTGTGTGAGAGGGATTAAGGTGCCTCGACAAAGGAATTAGCATAAAAATTAGCATTTGATTGGCGGACTTAGCAAGATGAAAGGTGTAGCACGCGGCAGTGCACCTTTAAGCTGTGTGAGAGGGATTAAGGTGCCTTGACAAAGGAAGTTTCACGTTAAGTAAATGAACTTGACCCATGATCAACATTGAATCATTTACAGTAATATACGAATGTCATGATCTATCCTTGCCTGTCCAACAATTCAATGCGTTTTTGAGATTTGTAGCCTTGCTGGTTTATCCCAGGAAGTTTCTGTTGCGCGTCGTCGCTTTAAGACGTTTCTCTGTTCATGTTTTGTTGGTTACGGTTGCACCCAAATCAAGAGCCGCGTGGCTCACAGGGCTGTACCTAATAAATGAAACTTGAAACTACTTCAGCGCGAGCCCAACAAAGGGCATGCCTGCACTGTGGGGAGCGGTGGTGTCGCGATTCGCGCACTGCACAACAAACCCCAGCGACCCAAATTCTATTCCCGCTAACGACCCCGTACGCATTGCTCTAGCACAGGAAGTTAACGATTTGTCTCCTCGGTATTTGCTGATTGATTTTAATCGACACTATGATCTTTTTTGGGGCGCCACGGTGGCGAGATGTTTGCTACCTCGTCTGGTATACAGAAGGTTGTGGGTGCGATCCTGACCCTATGGCCTGTATATTTGGTGTTTGCTTGTCTCTCTCCCCGTGGTCGCGTAGATATTTCTCCGGGTCCTCCGGTTTTTCCACTCCGTATTTAGAATCACCGTCACGCATTTAGAGTATTTGGCTGCTATACATTTCCACGCAATAAGCCATTTCTTTGAACTATCATTTGCGGCCAGCTCGCTTCTGAAAAAGAGTTATATAGCTCTATTTGTTTTTTGCATTTTTGTTTACGTTCGTTTAGATTTTTTTTTTTGCAGAATCTGCAATGAACACAGGGGCAATGTGAACCAACCGCACGCAACGTGTACAGCCCAAACGACGGTGACTCACGCGTATGACTTGATGCGCGCGTTGACGGCATGAGACTACAACTTAACTCGTGAGCCGATCCTTAATTCGTGGCCAGGTCGCTTCTGAGCTCTAGAGCTCAGTGGGCCTTGCCTGATCAAATAAAAAATAGTTTCAATAGTCAAATAGTTTTGTTTGTCCTGCTCGCGCGCGCGCGTGCGTGCGTGCGTGTGTGCGTGCGTGTGTCGCAGGTGATCGCGGGCATGGAGGCGGAGATGGCGGTGCGGGCGCTCGAGGCGGAGATGCAGCAGCGGCGGATCCACGAGCTGGAGGAGATGCACACGCAGCTGCGCGTCGCGCTGGAGGCGGAGCGCCGCAGCAAGCACGACGAGGAGGCGGCGCGCGAGCTGCAGGCGCGGTGAGCGGGACGACGGCGGCGGCGCCATGCAGCGCAGTCACCCAGACACTCACCCAGACACTCACCCAGACACTCACCCAGACACTCACCCAGACACTCACCCAGACTCTCACTCAGACTCTCACTCAGACTCACACAGACTCTCACAGACTCTCACAGACTCACCCAGACGCTCACCCAGACACTCACACAGACTCTCACCCAGACTCTCACAGACTCACCCAGACTCACCCAGACTCCCAAACATACTCTCACTCAGACTCTCACACAGACTCACCCAGACTCACCCAGACTCTCACCCAGACACTCACCCAGACACTCACCCAGACTCACCCAGACTCACACAGACTCACCCAGACTCACCCAGACTCACCCAGACTCTCACCCAGACTCTCACCCAGACTCACCCAGACACTCACCCAGACTCACCCAGACTCACCCAGACACTCACCCAGACACTCACCCAGACTCACCCAGACTCACCCAGACACTCACCCAGACTCACCCAGACTCACCCAGACCCTCACCCAGACTCTCACTCAGACTCTCACCCAGATTCTCACCCAGACTCCCACCCAGACTCTCACCCAGACTCTCACCCAGACACTCACACAGACTCTCACTCAGACTCCCACCCAGACTCTCACCCAGACTCTCACCCAGACACTCACACAGACTCTCACTCAGACTCCCACCCAGACTCTCACCCAGACTCTCACCCAGACTCACCCAGACACTCACCCAGACTCTCACCCAGACTCCCACCCAGACTCTCACCCAGACTCCCACCCAGACTCTCACCCACACTCCCACCCAGACTCACCCAGACTCTCACTCAGACTCTCACCCAGACTCCCACTCAGACTCCCACTCAGACTCCCACCCAGACTCTCACCCAGACTCCCACTCAGACTCCCACTCAGACTCCCACCCAGACTCCCACTCAGACTCACTCAGACTCCCACCCAGACTCTCACCCAGACTCCCACTCAGACTCCCACTCAGACTCTCACCCAGACTCTCACTCAGACTGCCACTCAGACTCCCACTCAGACTCCCACTCAGACTCTCACCCAGACACTCACCCAGACTCTCACCCAGACTCTCACTCAGACTCTCACTCAGACTCTCACTCAAACTCCCACTCAGACTCACCCAGACTCACCCAGACACTCACTCAGACTCTCACCCAGACTCTCACCCAGACTCTCACTCATACTCTCACTCAGACTCTCACTCAGACTCCCACTCAGACTCTCACCCAGACTCTCACCCAGACTCTCACTCAGACTCCCACTCAGACTCTCACCCAGACTCCCACTCAGACTCCCACTCAGACTCCCACTCAGACTCCCACTCAGACTCTCACTCAGACTCTCACTCAGACTCTCACCCAGACTCTCACCCAGACTCCCACTCAGACTCCCACTCCGACTCCCACTCAGACTCCCACTCAGACTCTCACTCAGACTCTCACCCAGACTCTCACTCAGACTCTCACCCAGACTCTCGTTTAAAGAAGCAAAGACAACGAACCCCTTCTATAGCCTTCTTAGGGGCAAGTGCCGTGAGCAAGTAGAGGCGGCGAGGCCGATCTTGACACCAGTGTCACCAATCATCGCACAGGCAGGTAGCTGCATGCACACAAAATACAAAGATCCCCCGTATAACCTGGAACAGACTGTTAGGGCAAGTGCTGTCAGCGAGCAGCACCTATGAAGGCCGGCACGGCACACGAAGGGGTGGGTGGCCAGCACCACGCTGGGCTGCCTTTGTCTCCCCGGTGCTGATGTTTACAGACATCATGCCAGATACTCACTTAAGGCTGAGTCGACCTAGAGCACAGATAAAGTTTAGTCAGAGCAAAGAGACACAAGTGCCCTGAAACACGGACGAACTCATTTTCTTTTTGATCCCCTGCTGATTTTGTACGTTTGCCCACTGACAAAGAAATGATCAGTCTATAATTTTAATGGTAGGTTTATTTGAACAGTGAGAAACAAAATAAAAAAACAAAAAAATCCAGAAAACGCATGTCCAAAATGTTATAAATTGATTTGCATTTTAATGAGGGAAATAAGTATTTGATCCCTCTCAATCAGAAAGATTACTGGCTCCCAGGTGTCTTTTATACAGGTAACGAGCTGAGATTAGGAGCACACTCTTAAAGGGAGTGCTCCTAATCTCAGCTTGTTACCTGTATGAAAGACACCTGTCCACAAGCAATCAATCAATCAGATTCCAAACTCTTAATCATGGCCAAGACCAAAGAGCTCTCCAAGGATGTCAGGGACAAGATTGTAGACCTACACAAGGCTGGAATGGGCTACAAGACCATTGCCAAGCAGCTTGGTGAGAAGGTGACAACAGTTGGTGCGATTATTCGCAAATGGAAGAAACACTAAAGAACTGTCATTCTCCCTCGGCCTGGGGCTTCATGCAAGATCTCACCTCGTGGAATTGCAATGATCATGAGAACGGTGAAGAATCAGCCCAGAACTACACGGGAGGATCTTGTCAATGATCTCAAGGCAGCTGGCACCATAGTCACCAAGAAAACAATTGGTAACGCACTACGCCGTGAAGGAATGAAATCCTGCAGCGCCCGCAAGGTCCCCCTGCTCAAGAAAGCACATATACATGCCCGTCTGAAGTTTGCCAATGAACATCTGAATGATTCAGAGGACAACTGGGTGAAAGTGTTGTGGTCAGATGAGACCAAAATGGAGCTCTTTGGCATCAACTCAACTCGCCGTGTTTGGAGGAGGAGGAATGCTGCCTACGACCCCAAGAACACCATCCCCACCATCAAACATGGAGGTGTAAACATTATGCTTTGGGGGTGTTTTTCTGCTAAGGGGACAGGACAACTTCACCGCATCAAAGGGACGATGGACGGGGCCATGTACCGTCAAATTTTGGGTGAGAACCTCCTTCCCTCAGCCAGGGCATTGAAAATGGGGCGTGGATGGGTAGTCCAGCATGACAATGACCCAAAACACACGGCCAAGGCAACAAAGGAGTGGCTCAAAAAGAAGCACATTAAGGTCCTGGAGTGGCCTAGCCAGTCTCCAGACCTTAATCCCATAGAAAATCTGTGGAGGGAGCTGAAGGTTCGAGTTGCCAAACGTCAGCCTCGAAACCTTAATGGCTTGGAGAAGATCTGCAAA